TTTTTTTTCTTTGCCTATACAGAGTAGTTAAAGACTTTGGTCCTCCTACCCTTTTATCTCTTTCGTTTAACACGCTCCGGTGTAGTAGTAGAGAAAACAAGCCCTTTCTCTTTTCGTTTAACGAGCTCTTGTGAAGTACTAAAGAAAACAAACCCTATAATTCAATCTCCCAAAACTGAATATGAGATTCAGATTAGAGATTGTCAAAAAATGCACCTTTTAGCCACTCCTTTAGGTTCTTGCAAATCGCCACACAAATTTATATTGTGCGTAAATCACTGATTCGTGTTGAAGCTAGAGGTATGGTTTAGTTTATTTCAGCTTGTGTCTTGAAATTTTTGTTATATCAGATTCATGTCAATTTATTTAGTCAATTTTAATACTTGGCTAATTGATGGGAGACTTGAGGAGACTGAGGTGGATCAGATCTTGTTTGTGATTATCAAATTTACTTTTGGGTTCAGTGAAGTTGATGATTTGGTACTGATTCGATCCATTTATTTATTAAGGGTGTTGTGTTTTTTCATTGGGGTGTGATATCTACACATTCCTTTTTACTTCTCCCACATTTTTTTGGTTTTCGGCCGTTGGATCAGATGAATTAAAGAAGATCAACGGACATAAATTAATAAGGAGTGTGTGAGAAGTAAAAAGGAGTGTGTGGATAGCACACCCCTTTTTCATTTGACATAAAAATCTTGATAAGCAGAAACTGACTAGAAGAGAAAAAAGTACTGGCACTCTAAAAGTTTTGTTCAGTTTGGTAGACATATCAGTATAAATTTTTTAGAAATGTCGATAAATGTATAGATATTGGTGAAAATATCAGTTTAAAATATAAAATATACAACTACGGGGATGGGTCGCGAGCACCGTTGTCAGGTCGACGGATCTTGGCGTCATTGAATCGTCTAATCTGGCGTCATTGAATCGTCTAATCGTGTGCAGGCCGAATAATCAATAAGCTAACTATGTCATTCGGTTGTGTGCGGGGCATGCCAACTCGTCGCCCGAGCTCGGCCGGGGAGTAAAATGTGTTGATGTTGCGTTGAACATGTTGCTGATTTCTTGATCTTGCAACTGTAGCCGAGGAAGGAACACGTCTCGGCCTTCAGGTTCTAGAGCCTAAAGACAAGGCTGCTAGTTTTGCGAAGTTCAATATCAAATTCAGCTTTCAATGTGCCGAATGTAGTAACCTGGTAACACTTCACTTTGCCGAGAATGTTGATGAGATGACCTATGTGGATGCAAATTTTCGCCTTCTCCTTCTTTGACAAAATTGCACCTACAAAACAATCAACACATTTGGTCAAGGCCAAGAACCTCAAATGCCCACGATGAATGGGGGAGGCTTTGGCCGAAGAACCTTCGATGCCAAAGTTAGAATTTAGAGAGAAAAATATTTAGAGAGTTTTTGGAGTTTTACCAGAGTATCAACTGAACTTTTGAGAAGAAATAGGGTCATATATATAGGGAATAGGGTATGGCCGGCCTTTAAGTGTGTTTTTTTAGTGTTATTTGGTTATTCAATTAGCAATTAATATATTAATTAGGTATAAATATATTAATTGGCTAATTATCATAATAAAAGAAATGTTTTAGGAGGTTTTGGGAGTTATGGAATGAGGATGAATGAGACAAATTTGAACTTGTTACCTATTTTGGGTACTCCTGATTTGGTTGATAGATGATTTTCCACTGCTCGCGTGTAGGAGACCCGGTATGCCTCGAGGGTAAATTTGTCATCTTCACCCAAAAATCCACGTGTCGCCTTGTGATTATTTTTGGCTCTACAACCTCTACCAACAAAGACTCGAAAATCCTTATCAGCCAAAACTTGGATAGGTAATCAGTCGCCTGAGAAGCAGTGTTGTTTATCCAAACTAAATGTGCCTCTTGATCGGCTAATTCTATGGCTCCAGTGCTGTTTGTCCAAACTGAAGATGTGTCAGCGGGAAAAAGAAAATAAAAATCTCAAGATTGTTGAGAGGTTTCACGTAGAGCGAGAGTTTACGCATGGCAGTTTTGTGTGTTAAATTGGAGGGCTTTTTCAACGTTGCCACTGCGTCTGTATTTATATGAACATATTTTTTGTTTGGCATAGCCTGGATAATAAGCAGAGGAATTTTGAGTTGAATATCAGAGTGCGCAACGAACGAGACTAACAAAATAAGAAATATTATTGATATCAAACGAGAATGCCAGAACGGCTACAAAACCCTAAGAGACTACATTGTGACTAACTTATTCTCAAACTAAATTACAAACTCTATTTATAGAGCAATAAACCTAAGAAACCGTAATGCGTAAATGCCAAAAATACCCTACTACAAAATCAAATCAAATCTCTAATTAATTTCCTAAATAAACCTAATAAATTCCAACACCCCCCGTCAAACTCATGGCGGTACACGACATGGGTTTGCCAAAGTGATGTGGATGCAAGCTCCATTATGCTAATTTCCGATGTCAATTTCAATATGAAATTTCACCGGTGCAAGTGCAAGATTCCAAAGCCAGTGCCAGTGCAAGATTCCAATGCCAGTGCCAGTGCTAGTGCAAGATTCCAATGCCAGTGCAAGATTTCCATGCCAGTGCCACTTCCGAACCAACTTCATGACAAAATAATACGCAGCGGACAAACAGATGAACAAATTGATACCCATCTAGAACAGATTAAATTCCGAAGAATCGAACCTGCTCTGATACCAAGTTGAATATCAGAGTGTGCAACGAACAAGACTAACAAAATAAGAAATATTATTGATATCAAACGAGAATGTCAGAACGGCTACAAAACCCTAAGAGGCTATATTGTGACTAACTTATTCTCAAACTAAATTACAAACTCTATTTATAGAGCAATAAACCTAAGAAACCCTAATGCGTAAATGCCAAAAATACCCTACTACAAAATCAAATCAAATCTCTAATTAATTTCCTAAATAAACCTAATAAATTCCAACATTTTGATTGCACCTGAAGACTCTGTAATGGAACATTCTGAGAAAGTCATGACCACATGCATATCTGGTCGACAAATGGGGACTCTGAATGCTAATCCCACTCCAACCAAGAGACTCTTTCTCCGCGTTATTCATCCAAATGCACTCAGCGACCTAATTGCAAATGGCAAATTAAATTACCACCTCTGACAACCAATTGCAAAGTGTAATCATTATCCCACCATCACTTCGTTATCCTTGCATCCCATGCATGCATAAAAAATAAAAAAACATCATGGTTGGTAGTTTTGCATTATCTGCAAAACCATCCTGATCCCATCACATTACCTTAGTTTGATTACTCCAAATGGATACGAATGGCATATCCACATGTTGATCATCCAATATTAATTGCATCCTTGTGGTATTTTTCCACGTGGTTCTGCATGCAAGCTAAATATGCAACTCTTGCAACTGATTAAATAGCATTTGGATAGAACTCTAATGATGCACGACATTTCACATAACCTCCTCTGCATGAAGTTTTACGCGTATCATAACTCAGTGCGTTTTAAGGATATTTTCAAGATAATTATTATGATAAAAAAAAAACAATAGTAATATCAAGAAAAATCTTTAATCATCCGACAGTTGGGAGCTATGCTCATTCAAAGGCCTTAATTGCACATGCATGTAATTTTGAGTCCAAACGAATACATAATGTACCATTTCGTGTGCCGATCACATTGAAAAATCTCTCATGTTTCACCAATTCAGTTTTCAACCCAACTCCAATTCTGTTGAGAGAGTATACGCCAAATAGTAGACACCCAACCTATCCAATCTAATCCTAGTCTAACCAGTCCAAAATACAAACTCCAATCATGTCTGTTCCACTAAACGGCCCTTAATGAAAGAAGTATAGATGTCTCCCTCATAGTATAGTTAATATTGTCCTAAAGTGTGATACATCGAGCAAATCTTATAAAGCTTCACATGATTATCAAATTTAAAGTCACGTGTACTTTTGAAATGCAAGAGATTTTTCAATGTACTAAGAATATGATTCAATATACAAAGTATAATAATATAGTTTGTTGAAAATTTGGAAAAAAAATTCCAATGAATTTTGTATTATGACAATTGGTGTTCCTCACCGTGTTCTCACTAGGGTTGGAAAAAAATCCCAAACCGAACCGAAAAATTCCCGAAACCGAACCGAAAAATTCCCAAACCGAAATTCCCGAAAATTTCGGTACCCAGTACAAAACCAATCCATAAATTTCGGTACGGGAATTGGTCTCAAGTTTTTGAGATTTCGGTAATCCCAAACCGAACCGAAAAATATATATATATTATTTAATTTTTAAATATATATTTAGAATTTTAATAGCCATTGGATTCTGTTGAGATTTAATCTCAACCGTTGCATATAAATTGTGTATGATTTATCCTTCCTGGTGTGAATGTATATATGTGTGTATGTGTGTGCATGGGAAACATGAAAAAGTTTGGCATTTGGCATTGTAAATGACTAGGACATATAAGGAGGGGAAGGAGGAGTGAAATGCACGCTAAGGACTAATGAGAATTTTGATGCTCAGGTCCTCCATGAAATTTAATCTGTGCACAGATTATATTGTAAGTTACAGATTAAATTTATTTTTATTACAACATATTGGTTTTGTTGTATACTTGTAACTTACAATGGCCTATGAAATTTATTAAGAAAATTTAGTCTGCAACAGATTGACAACCCAATATAAAGTTGAATTTTAGCCCAAAACATAATATGTCAAATTTTAGTCCAAAAGCCCAAAATCATTTTGGGATTCCCGATTTGTCTAGAAATCCCGAAATTATTTCGGGATTCTCGAAAAATTGATTTGAGATCGGTATTGAATTTTGAACTCCCAAAAATTTTGGTTTGGAAATCGGAACACGGGTTTTGGTTCAGTATCCCATACCGAACCACCCCTATTTCTCACAATGAATCCACAACTGACAATCCTACTGACTAAGCCACGACCCCAATAATTAATCTATTAATCAATCTCCAACGGTCGAAAATTTAGTAAAACCCCATCGACCCCATCAACGTTCACTATTTCTCCCGTAACGGTTACTTCTTCTTCTTCCACTGTCCACCTCTTCAGCTCCAAAACCCACCAATCTCTCTCTCTTTCTCTCTTACCGTGGTTGTTGTACAGCTCGCTTTCTTTCTGGGATTTTGTCTCTGAGATTTATGGAACCAGCAAAAATCGATTGGAAAAGTTTAGAGTGGAGATTCGTAGAGGACAAATACTACGAGCAAATAAACGCGCCCAAGTGGTTCGATTTCTTGAACCCCAATGACAATTCCGTCGACGATCAGGCCTGGTTTTGCCGACCCGGTACCTTAATCCTTCTCAAATTATATTTCAACCCCTTCTTTTTTCTTTGTTTCTAATTTTGACCGACTAAATATTTTCTTGGATTATTTTGCTGAATTGCAGGATGCAAGCATCCCAAGACGGCTGAGGATTTTCTCAAGTCATCACCTCCCAAGGTTTCTCCTTTTCCAGTCTTTCTTTCTTTTTGATTGGCTTCCGATTTTGTTTAATTTTTTTTTTCTTGTGTTAATCTGCTTGGTTGCTAAGAAAATGTGATGGGAAAGATTGAAAATTTGAGATTTTGATTCTTTGGTATTCGGCATAAGATCTAATTTTCGCTTTGGTCTTTATTTTCCTCGCATTTTGGAGCTACCCCAGCATAGATTTTGTATAATTCTCTTCTTTTTATTTTTTCTAAGTTTCTAATTTCTTTGTTTGTCCATCTGGGAAAGGTTCCGAGCCCCGCTGTTGTTCCTGAAGTTTCTCCACTTGGTGATAAAGTCCAGAGGTAAAAAGCAAAACCCATGAACCCTTGTTTTCACAATACAATTTAAACCGGTTTCGCAGAATTTAACCTTTTCGTTTGTAATTCAGAGATGTGAAACTGAAGAGAAGAGGGTTGAATCAATCTTCAATTTACCCGACTAATAATTCAAGATTCAAGGAAGAAGGTGAAAATCAGAACCCCAATCTATCAACCCCTCCAATGAACCAAGCTAAGGCCATGAAGGCAACAATCAAATCAAGCACAGAGAAGAAGCAACCAATTGAGAGCACCCTGCCGAACGATGAGGTGCTTCCTAAGCTTAGAAGCACGCTGTCAGCGAGGAATTTATTTGCGGGGAGGGATCTTCTGAATCAGATTACGGACTTCTGTTCCGAATTGAAGAGAATGGCTATGAGAGCGAGGGAGGGAGAGGATGTGGAGAATTCGGATGTGAGGAAAAGCCCAGCGGGCTTGCAGGAAGAGGTAGTGAAGGAGGAGTGTAACCGTGAGGTTTTTGGGGAGTTGAAAGGGAGGGAAACAGAGAGAATGCCGCTGTTTGAGGTGGATAAAGGGAAAACTGAGAGGCAAATGGGGAGAAGTCCATTGCTGGAGGTTAATAAAGGGAAAAATGGGAGGCAAATGAAGAGAACGCCATTGCTTGAGGTGAGCAAAATGAACACTGAAGGAATGGAGGGGAGCAATTCAGAGAAGCCAAGGAGGAAAAAGTAAGTTTAATCTTTTTCTCTATATATTTGTTTGTAATGCAAGCCTCTATATTTGTGTGCACTTTCTATCCTTTGTTATGTATGTAATTGTGTGTTTGTATCTGTGTTTTTATGGTATAAACATCTTCTTATTCACTTGTTATGGTAAAACGTTTGATGCAGTTTAAATTATGATCTGGTCTGGTTGATAACAAATTACCTCTATGAATCTTGAAACTTTCTGGCTTTGATGATTGGATACATAAGGTTAACTTTTGATGACGACCTTCTGCAGAAGAGATGACGAGGCAGAGAACATCCCAATCCCTCTAAGTTTAGAGAATGTTAAGCGCAAAGGGGGCGAGAGCTTGTTGCAAATCCGGACCAACCCTCCCTCTCCTCAATGCTTTTCTACAACAAGGCCTCCCAGCAAAATCACACCTTCAAAAGCTTCCAAGTCCAAGCTGATGGTAAGTAACTAGCTGCATCCTTCTCCTTATTCGTATTATTTTTTATCCGTTAAGTCACTTGACTGAGATATCTTAGTCTTTCTTGCAACTCAAGCTTGATAGTACAGTTACAAAGTTGGTCTTATTGGTTTGCATAGCCATCTTAGTTGAAATGATAAACTCAAATTTCAGTCAGCTTAGTTGTACTTTCATGCATAGACACTATTTTAAAGGTATGTTGAAGGAAGAAGTGAAATAATTGTGACTAACTTGGAGGTACCAATCCTCCCCAAAATGGTAGGATGAGAAGGGAGAATATTCATTCATGTCTAATCCTCTCAAAAATGAAAGAAAAAAATCATTCTCCTCCACCTTCAATATGCCGTGAATGGGTTATCCATTCCAATCCTATGATCTCTACCAGGCCTTACGCATTTCAGACTTCCTTAGCACCACCTCCATATCGTGTTGCGGTGCTATGACTAAACAAAATCTAAGCGATTTTGTATATGACTCAATTTGCCGCTCAAATAAGATCCCTTCGTAGATTTGATTTGTGCTAATATCAAGCATTGTCAGTTAATTTTTCTGATCTGTTTTTTCTGCATGATGACCAGGAAAGGGGAGTTCGTGGAGAGGTAGAGCAAAACAAAAAGGTGGTGGTGAACAAGGAGGATTCCACAGAGAAAGGCAAAAACGTTTGTGTAGTCGATGGAAGAGAAGCTAGAGCCCTCGACGTTTTCTGGTTTCTAAAACCTTGCACGACACTTTCCACCTAAAACATTGAGCAACAATTCACATCCATTGTTTCATTCTTTTGATTCCTTAATTCTTTCGCCCTCATGTGGTCTGTAGTTTTAGTTTTCTTCAGACAAATCTATAGTTGGTAAATAAAACTGTAATGTATTGAACAGACCGATACAATAATTGTACCGAGCTCAGTTCTGATGAATAAACTTTCAATTTTTATCGTTGAGTTTTATACTCCGTAGGCCTTTTGTTATGACCGTGTTTCGGTTTTTTCTCTTCGTTTGATGAAGGCCAAATTATAATTTTAGTCCATGTAGTTTCAAATTTCGAAATTTATACATGTAGCAAACTAAATGTATTACGCGGGGTGCCTCTGATTTTTAGGGTAAGAAGGGGTGGAGAAAATATCTCAAGCCAATGTTCGAGTATTAGAAGCCACGGCGCTGAAGTAACTCGTGCCATACTCCTAAAAAAAAAACCCCAACAATCTTCAATTAAAGGGTATGTGTACCCAAAACCGACACAGGTGGGTAGGTAGAGAATACCTAAGGACGCGAGACAACTCTCTAAGGAACTCGGCAAAATAGCCTTAATTGATGAAAATTTTGACTGTTTAGATGTTTGAAACACCTCAGAACTGCCCTCGGATGTGTTACTATCATGCAACTATGTTTGTTTAAGAGGTAATCTATCTTATTTATAAAGCCAGAGCCCCACTTTGGGGTCACGGCTTCAACAAAAATAAAAGGACAAAAATTGCCCCTCAACCAAAAAAATCCAAAAGCATTCCAATTTAATACATCAAATCATGCAAGGGTAATTTGGTAATTTGATCATCATAAAATATAATATAAATATAAATGGGAGAAAGAAAAGAATAAAAAAATGAAAGGTAAGAGAGAAAAGAATAAAAGAAAAGAAAATTAATGAAAATGACTTAAAAACTTTGAATTTTAACGATAAGGATAAAATAAAGCGTAAAGTGAATAATACCAAGATTGACTTTTTAATATAAAAATATGTTTTTTCGTTAAAGTGAACAGTAGCGATAGCCTTTTGTTAAAGTTCTCTATAAAAAATGACAAAGTTGTTGGTGCACACGTGATGGGAGAAGAAAAAAAAAATAAGAGAAATCATGAATATGTGCCCACGTGAAGGAGAAAGAAAAATATAATAAAAATAAGGAAAATCATGAATATTGTGTTCAAAACATCTTAAGAGGAGTGTAATGCCGATTATAAAATAGGTTTTGATAATAATTTGATTAAATAAGTTGTTAAATGATTGTTTTTTTTTTTAACAAACGATATTATCTACATTAAGGGGAAGATGGGCTTAGCCTCACAATATGCTAGCAATAATATGATTCAATCAATTGTTTATTAAATATTATTTTCTTTATAAAAAAAAAGGTCTTTCGCACGTGAATAATAATGTGATTAAATTAATTGTCAAATGATTGTGTGTGTGTTTTTTTTTTAACAAACGATTTTATCTATACTAAGGGGGAGGGGGTGAGCTTAGCCTCACAATGGGCTAGCAATAATATGATTCAATTAATTATTTATTAAATATTATTTTCTCTATTCATAATGTAAATTATATAGAAACCGATTTTATTATGTGAATTCAGTTGTTTTAATTGGTTTATGAGGAGTTTCTTCTATCATGATCTAAAATTATTCATTTACTTCAAATATTTGACTTTCTTTTTGTTAATTTACGCATATAAATACATTTAAAACGTGTAAGTCAAAAAATGCACGTGGTCATCATAAAATATAATATAAATATAAATGGGAGAAAGAAAAGAATAAAAAAAATGAAAGTGAAGAGAGAAAAGAATACAAAAAAAAAAAAAAAACTAATGAAAATGACTTGAAAACTTTGAGTTGAAACGATAAGAACAAAATAAAAGGAAAGTGAATAGTATCATGATTGACTTTTTAGTATAAAAATGTGGTTTTTCATTAAAGTAAACAGTACTTGGAGCTTTTCATTACAGTTCCCTAAAAAAATGACAAAGTTGATGGTGACCACGTGATGGGGGAAGAAAAAATAATAAAAAATAAGAGAAATCATGAATATTGTGTCAAAACATCTTAACAGGCGTGTAATACCAGTGATAAAAAAAGAAAATAACGAATGATGAGTGAAAGTTGATGGTGTCCACATGAAGGGGAAACAAATATAATAAAAAAAAAAAAAAAATCATGAATATTGTGTTCAAAATCTCTTAAGAGGCGTGTAATGCTGGTTATAAAAAGGTCTTTTGCACGCGGATAATAATTTGATTAAATAAGTTGTCAAATGATTGTTTTTTTAACAAAAGATATTATCTACACTAAGGGGAAGGTGGTCTTAGCCTCACAATAGGCTAGCAATAATGTGATTCAATCGGTTGTTTATTAAATATTATGATCTAAAATTATTCATTTACTTCAAATATTTGACTTTGCTTTTGTCAATTTACGCATATAAATACATTTAAAACGTGTAAGTCACGCCTAGCACACTGTAATTAAAAAAATGCCTTCTACACGCGCGTGAGCGCATGTATGAAGGCTAATTATATATAAACAGAGAAGAAAAGGTGAATAGTATTTTGGTGTCACCAAGCTTCAACAAAAATAATTGAATAAAAATGCCCCCAAAACAAAAAACATCAAAAGCACCCCAAAATAATGCATCAAATAAGGTAGGGGCATTTTCATCATTTTAATAGTATTTTTTTAATAATTAATTTGTGTGTGTGTGTGTGTTTTTTTTATTTTTATTTTTTTTTATAATAATTAGTACCTCGGCTAGCAATAATATGATTCAATTTCTCTATTTTTAAATACGTTCAAAAAGTTTTAAGAGGCTAGTAATAATTAGTATCCCAACCGTTGCATATAAATTGTGTATGATTTATCCTTCCTGGTGTGAATGTATATATTTGTGTCTGTGTGTGCATGGGAAACATGAAAAAGTTTGGCATTTGGCATTGTAAATGACTAGGACAGATAAGGAGGGAAACAGAGAGAATGCATCTGTTTGAGGTGGATAAAGGGAAAATTGAGAGGCAAATGGAGAGAACTCCATTGCTGGAGGTTAATAAAGGGAAAAATGAGAGGCAAATGAAGAGAACGCCGTTGCTTGAGGTGAGCAAAATGAACACTGAAGGAATGGAGGGGAGCAATTCGGAGAAGCCAAGGAGGAAAAAGTAAGTTTAATCTTTTTTCTCTATATATTTGTTTGTAATGCAAGCCTCTATATTTGTGTGAACTTTCTATCCTTGTTGTGTATGTAATTGTGTGTTTGTATCTGTGTTTTTATGGTATAAACATTTTCTTCTTCACTTGTTGTGGTAAAACGTTTGTTGCAGTTTAAATTATGATCATCTGATCGGGTTGATAACCAATTACCTCTATGAATCTTGAAACTTTCTGGCTTTGATGATTGGATACATAAGGTTAACTTTTGATGACCACCTTCTGCAGAAGAGATGACGAGGCAGAGAACGTCCCAATCCCTCTAAGCTTAGAGAATGTTAAGCACAAAGGGGGCGAGAGCTTGTTGCAAATCCGGACCAACCCTCCCTCTCCTCAACGCTTTTCTGCAACAAGGCCTCCCAGCAAAATCACACCTTCAAAAGCTTCCAAGTCCAAGCTGATGGTAAGTAACTAGCTACATCCTTCTTATTCGTATTATTTTTTATCCGTTAAGTCACTTGACTGAGATATCTTAGTCTTTCTTGCAACTCAAGCTTGATAGTACAGTTACAAAGTTGGTCTTATTGGTTTGCATAGCCATCTTAGTTGAAATGATGAACTCGAATTTCTGTCAGCTTAGTTGTACTTTCATGCATAGACACTATTTTTAAGGTATGTTGAAGGAAGAAGTGAAATAATTGTGACTAACTTGGAGGTACCAATCCTCCCCAAAATGGTAGGATTACAAGGGAGAATATTCCTTCATGTCTAATCCTCTCAAAAACAAAAGAAAACAAATCATTCTCCTCTACCTTCAATATGCCGTGAATGGGTTATCCATTCCAATCCTATGGTCTATACCAGATGAGGCCTTGTGCATTTCAGACTTCCTTATCACCTCCATATCGTGTTACGGTGCTATGACTAAACCAAAATCTAAGCGATTTTGTATATGACTCAATTTGCCGCTCGAACTCAGATCCCCTCATAGCATATAGTGGATGTACGAAATCATGTAGCTCTGATGGGATCTGTCCATTTGCATTATTGATTTACTGTGTGATTCCAAGGCCTTTCTGGTTCTGCATAGAGAAGATCAAATAAAACTCCTGATTACCTGCTGTTGGAAACAAATAATAAATATACAGGGAATTTTATAGAAAATTAGGATTAGATTTTAACGGTTCTTAACCAAATTTGGTCAAATTCACGCCTACCCTCAACGATTCCAGTTCGTATAGCCTCAACTCATCATCACACAAAAGAATGTTAAACATGCAACACAGAAACGAACCAATTCCCTAAACTTTCGAAATTGGGGATGATCTGAATATGGAATAAAACCTGGAATAACTTACCATGAGTACAAAAGGTTTTAGAAAACGATTGAAGCCCATAATTTAACGTGGCAGCCGCCCCTAGTGGTCGAGGTGGTTCCATTGCACGAGAGAGTAATTGAAATATGCAGAACAAAAAACCATAGAAACAACAGAAAGAAAAACTCAAAATTTTTAGTAAAATTAAGAACAAAAATCACTAATCACACAACCAAAATTAATAGAAATAAAAAATCAGTATGCACGAAAGACCAAAATAATCTTTGAGGGGGAGGAAATTGATGAAACATCGAACCTTGAGAACTTGATTTTCTGGGCAGCGAGTGGAAGAGCAAAAACGGGCTTGAAGGGGGTGAGTTCGGTTGGATTCTAGGGCTTGATAGGTGTGCATGCAGTCGAAATCGGTGATGGGGAGAAATTTGATTTCGTCCAAGAGATTTTTTGTTCGAATCAAGTTGAGCAGGAAGGAAGAGAAAACTGAGTTTCTCGCTTCAGGATGCTAATCATGGTTTTTAGCAAGAAAGGGGGAGAGAGAGAGAGAGAGATAGAGAGAAACAGAGAAACAGAGAACTGGAGATCGGAGGGCCATCAGAGCACGAAGAGCTTTTGTGAGGCAGGTATCAAAATCGAAATAAAAAAAGGAAGGCTCGAGAACTTCTGGAACCATGCAACGCGTCGACATCTCATAGAAGCAAAGGACGCGTGGATATCAGGAGCTCGGCTTCCTGAAGAAATCGAGAGATTTCTATCGCACAGTAGGGACCAAAACGCCATTTCTGAATAATAAACACAAAAAGCTAAACTTAAAGAACAACTAAAGGGCAAAACGGGAAGAATGAACAGTAAAAGGACACAAAGGGAATAACCAGAAAGTTAGGCGTTAAGTATACATATAATTTGTGCTAATAACAAGCATTGTCAGTTAATTTTTCTGATCTGTTTTTTCTGCATGATGACCAGGAAAGGAGAATTCTTGGAGAGGCAGAGCAAAACAAAAAGGTGGTGGCGAGCAAGGACGATTCCACGGAGAAAGGCAAAAACGTTTGTCTAGTTGATGGAAGAGAAGCTAGAGCCCTCGACGTTTTCTGGTTTCTAAAACCTTGCACAACCCTTTCCACATAAAACATTGAGCTGTTATTCACATCCACGGTTTCATTCTTTTGATTCCTTACTTCTTTCGCCCTCATGTGGTCGGTTTTAGTTTTCTTCAAATAAATCTATAGTTGGTAAATAAAACTGTAATGTACTGAACAGACCGACACAATAATTGTACTGAGCTCAGTTCCAATGAATAAACTTTCGATTTTTACCGTTGAGTTTCATACACCATAGGCCTTTTGTTATGACCGTGTTTCGGTTTTTCTCTTTCGTTAGGCCAAATTATAATTTTGGTCCATGTAGTTTCAAGTTTTGAAATTTATACATGTAGCAAACTAAATGTATTGCGCGGGATGCCTCTGATTTTTAGGGTAAGAAGGGGTAGAGAAAATATCTCAAGCCGATGTTCGAGTACTAGACGCCACAGCGCTGAAGTAACTCGTGCCATACTCCTAGAACAAAACCCCAACGATCTTCAATTAAAGGGTATGTGTACCCAAAACCGACACAGGTGGGTCCTAAGGGCGTGAGACAACTCTCTAAGGAACTCGACAAAATAGCCTTAATTGATGAAAGACTGTTTAGATGTTTGAAACACCTCAGAACTGCCCTTGGATGTGTTACTATCATACAACTATGTTTGTTTAAGAGGTAATCTATCTATCTTATATATAAAGCCAGAGCCCCCACTTTGGGGTCACAGCTTCAACAAAAATAAAAGGACAAAAATTGCCCCTTAACCAAAAAAATCCAAAAGCATCCCAATTTAATACATCAAATCATGCAAGGGTAATTTGGTAATTTGGTCATCACAAAATATAATATAAATATAAATGGGAGAAAGAAAGTAATAAAAAATTGAAAGGGAAGAGAGAAAAGAATAAAAAAAAGGAAAACTAATCAAAATAGCTTGAAAACTTTGAGTTTTAACGATAATGATAAAATAAAGCGTAAAGTGAATAGTATCAAGATTGACTTTTTAGTGTAAAAATGTGGTTTTTCATTAAAGTGAACAGTACCGGGAGTTTTTTGTTAAAGTTCCCTAAAAAAATGACAAAGTTGATGGTGCACACGTGATGGGAGAAGAAAAAAATAATTAAAAATAAGAGAAATCATGAATATTGTGTTCAAAACATCTTAAGAGGTGTGTAGCGCCACTGATAAAAAAAGAAAATAACGAATGATGAGTGAAAGTTGATGGTGCCCACGTGAAGGAGAAAGAAAAATATAATAAAAAAAAAGGAAAATCATGAATATTGTGTTCAAAACATCTTAAGAGGAGTGTAATGCCGGTTATAAAAAAAGTTTTTGGCATGCGGATAATAATTTGATTAAATAAGTTGTCAAATGATTGTTTTTTTTTATTTTTAACAAACGATATTATCTACATTAAGGGGAAAATGAGCTTAGCCTCACAATGGGCTAGCAATAATATAATTCAATCAGTTGTTTAGTAAATATTATTTTCTTTATAAAAAAAAAGGCATTTCGCACGCGGATAATAATGTGATTAAATTAATTGCCAAATGATTGTGTGTTTTTTTAAACAAATGATATTATCTACACTAAAGGGGAGGAGGTGGGCTTAGCCTCACAATGGGCTAACAATAATGTGATTCAATTAATTATTTATTAAATATTATTTTCTCTATTCATAATGTAAATTATATAGAAACTATTTTTATTATGTAAATTCAGCTGTTTTAATTGGTTTATGAAGAGTTTCTTCTAGCATGATCTAAAATTATTCATTTACTTCAAATATTTGACTTTCCTTTTGTCAATTTACGCATATAAATACATTTAAAACGTGTAACACCACTACAATATATGCTATCACCGTTGGAGCAAAAACCGACGAGAAATCCGATTTCTGTCGCAATTTTGGCAAAAATGCGACATAAAATATAATATAAATAAAAATGGGAGAAAGAAAAGAATAAAAAAATGAAAGGGAAGAGAGAAAAGAATAAATAAAAAAAAAACTAATGAAAATGACTTGAAAACTTTGAGGTGAAACGATAAGGACAAAATAAATGGTAAAGTGAATAGTATCATGATTGACTTTTTAGTGTAAAAATGTGGTTTTTCGTTAAAGTAAACAGTACCTGAAGCTTTTCGTTACAGTTCTCTAAAAAAAATGACAAAGTTGATGGTGACCACGTGATGGGGGAAGAAAAAAAAATAAAAAATAAGAGAAATCATGAATATTGTGTTCAAAACATTTTAGCAGGCGTATAGCGCCAGTGATAAAAAAAGAAAATAACGAATGATGAGTGAAAGTTGATGGTGTCCACATGAAGGGGAAAAAATATAATAAAAAAAAAGGAAAATCATGAATATTGTGTTCAAAATATCTTAAGAGGCGTGTAATGCCTGTTATAAAAAGGACTTTTGCACGCGGATAATAATTTGATTAAATAAGTTGTCAAATGATTGTTTTTTATTTTATTTTTAACAAACGATATTATCTACACTAAGGGGAAGGTGGGCTTAGCCTTACAATGGGCTAGTAATAATGTGATTCAATTAGTTGTTTATTAAATATTATGATCTAAAATTATTCATTTACTTCAAATATTTGACTTTCCTTTTGTTAATTTACGCATATAAATACATTTAAAGGTGCAAGTCATGCGTAGCACGCTGTAATTCAACAAATGCCTTCTACACGCACGTGAGCGCGTGCATGAAGGCTAGTTATATATAAAGAGAGAAGAAAAGGTGAATAGTGTTTTGGTGTCGCCAAGCTTCAACAAAAATAATTGGATAAAAATGCCCCCAAAACAAAAAACATCAAAGGCACCCCAAAATAATGCATCAAATAAGGTAGGGGCATTTTCATCATTTTAATAGTATTTTTTTAATAATTAATTTTTGTGTGTGTGTGTTTGTTTTTTTTTTTTTTGTGTTTTTTTTTAATAATTAGTACCTCACAATAGGCTAGCAATAATATGATTCAATTTCTCTATTTTTAAATACGTTAAAAAAGTCTTAAGAGGCGTGTAATGCCGGTTATAAAAAAATGTCATTTTCACGTGGATAATAATGTGATTAAATTAGTAGTCAAATGATTATTTTTTTTACACGTTCAAAACATCTTAAGAGGCATGTAATGCCGATTATAAAAAATGTCATTCGCACGCAGATAATAATGTAATTAAATTAGTTGTCAAATGATTATTTTTTTTAACAAACGATATTATCTACACTAAGGGGGTGTGCTTAGCCTCACAATGGGCTAGTAATAATGTGATTCAATCAATTGTTTATTGTTTATTTTAAATTCAAAACTTAAAAGGCGTGTTTAAAGAAAAAAATCTTTCGCACACAAATAATAATGTGATTAAATTAGTTGTCAAATGATTTTTTTTAACAAATAATATTATCTACACTAAGGGGGAGGGGGTGGGCTTAGCCTCACAATGGGCTAGCAATAATGTGATTCAATCAGTTGTTTATTAAATATTATTTTGTCTATTTTAAACACGTTCAAAACATCTTAAAAGGCATGTAATGCCGGTTATAAAAAAAATCCTTCGCACATGAATAATAATGTGATTAAATTAGTTGTCAAATGTTTTTTTTAACAAACGATATTATCTACACTAAGGGGGAGGGGGTGGGCTTAGCCTTACAATAAGCTAGCAATAATGTGATTCAATCAGTTACTTATTAAATATTTTTTTCTCTATTTTAAAACACATTCAAAACATCTTAAGAGGCGTGTAATGCCGGTTATAAAAAAGGTCTTTCGCACGCGGATAATAATGTGATTAAATTAGTTGTCAAATGATATTTTTTTTAAACAAACGATATTATCTACACTAAGGTGGAGGGGGTGGGCTTAGCCTCACAATGTGCTAGCAATAATGTGATTCAATCAGTTGTTTATTAAATGCTGATTATAAAAAAGGTTTTTCGCACGCGGATAATAATGTGATTAAATTAGTTGTCAAATGATTTTTTATTTTATTTTAACAAACGATATTATCTATACTAAGGGGGAGGGGGTGTGCTTAGCCTCATAATGGACTAGCAATAATGTGATTCAATCAATTGTTTATTAAATATTATTTTCTCTATTCTTGATGTAAATTCTATAAAGACCAATTTTATTATGTGAATTCAGCTGTTTTAATTGGTTTATGAGGGTTTCCTTGTAGCATGATCTAAGATTATTCATTTACTTCAAATATTTTACTTCCCTTTTGTCAATTTACGCATACAAATACATTTAAAACGTGTAAGTCGCGCTTAGCACGCCGTGATTCAAAAATGTCTTTTGCATGCGCTCACGCGCGTGCATGAAGGCTAGTCCAAACAAAATGAATTGGGCTTGATACTTTTTTGTTAAAGCTGATATTTTTTCCTTAAAATCTTATCCCCATTTTGGTATTTAATCCTGATTTACCTTTGTTTCAAACTGCTATTTGTATGATTTCGTATTTAAATTCTTGAATAAAGCATCTTATTGATTAAAAATACACATAATTTGACCATCAGAGATACATATGTATATCAAATTCTATAATATAACACAACCAACCTACAAATCAACAAGAACATAACAACTATAAGAACGATATATTTTGCTTAAATTCTTACTGTTTCATTTTTCTGAAAACATAAATTTGACATGCCTTCTCTCTTTTTTAACAGCCTCCACCTCCACCTCAACAACCGCCGTCTCCGCCTCCACCTCCACAACCGCCGCCTCCGCCTCCACCTCCATAACCGCCGCCTCCTCCACCTGTATAACCGCCGCCTCCAGGTCTAGGACTTCCTGAGCTATCACCACAAGCAAATATGACCATTGATATAAGTGAGAGGGACATGAGAATCATGCAGAGAAAAAGTAGCCCGCCCGAGTTGTGATCTGGCATCATGATAGCTACTTCGCCTGCATGGCCACCACCTAGACCAACGTATGTTCTAGCCATTGTTTCTCAGTGAGTTGCAAATTAATTACAAGATTATACAGCTTAACTATATGTGTGTCTGTGTGTGTGAGTGTGTCTGTGTGTGTGTGTTTATATATGTGCATATATATACATATATATATATATATAAATAATGTATGTATGCTATTGAAAATTCATATATAATCTTTTTTAACAGCTTCCACCTCCGCCTCCACCTCCACAACCGCCGCCTCCGCCTCCACCTCCACAACCGCCAGCTCCACCTGTATAACCGCCGCCTCTAGGTCTAGGTTTTCCTGAGCTATCACCACAAGCAAATATGACCATTGATATAAGTGAGAGGGACATGAGAATCATGCAGAGCAAAAGTAGCCCGCCCGAGTTGTGATCTGGCATCATGATAGCTACTTCGCCTGCATGGCCACCACCTAGACCAACGTATGTTCTAGCCATTGTTTCTCAGTGAGTTGCAAATTAATTACAAGATTATACAGCTTAACTATATGTGTGTCTGTGTGTGTGAGTGTGTCTGTGTGTGTGTGTTTATATATGTGTATATATATACATATATATATATATAATTAATGTATGTATGCTATTGAAAATTCATATATAATCTTAGTGTTGACTTGAAATCATGATATTTAAAGTCTTTGGTTGAAAATTCAATAATGTTAGGCTCATGGATACTTCTTTGAAGTTTCATTCTTGAGAACAGAACGAGAATTTATCGTATATAGCCAAAATTTAATATATAAATTAAAAAATGTCAATTTTTATAAAAATCTCAAATATAGTCAAAACTCCACTTGAATAGACCCAATTGCTTTAATGAAACTTGTTTTGACATGAAATATTAATGCCAAATACCCATTCAAATTCATGGATAACCACCCATTCAAATTCAAGTGGGTCATTATTAATGTCAGTTTCATTATTAATGTTACGTTCATGAAAGTACTTCTTTGAATATTAATGCCAAATACCCATTCAAATTCAAGCGGGTCATTATTAATGTCAGTTTCATTATTAATGTTAGGTTCATGAATACTTCTTTGAATTTAGCATATAAATTCAAAAATGTCAATTTTTATAAAATACTTCTTTTAATTACGTCAAAACCCTTTCAAATCTTGTGTCATTGTTGATGAGGTTTTGGGAGTGGTAAACTGGACACGCATGAATGTATATTAGTTACAGTGATGGTTGAACAAGGAAGACACCATGAACGTACGTCAGTTGCACCATTGCGAAGATGGAAACGCATTCTACTTGTTATATATAAAGAGAGAAGAAAATGTGAATAGTGTTTTGATGTCACCAAGCTTCAACAAAAAGAATTGGACAAAAATGCTCCCAAAACAAAAAACTTCAAAAGCATCTCAAAATAATGCATCAAATAAGGCAGAGGCATTTTCGTCATTTTAATAGTATTTTTTTTAATAATTAATTGTGTGTGTGTGTGTTTTTTTTTTTAACAATCAAGGTATTAAATATCAGTAATATCGGAAATATCGGTAGTCCGAAAACACGGAAATATCGATGGAAATATCGGGATAATATCGATATCGATAAAAATTACATGGAAACCACGAAAATTGTAAAAAAAACTTGGAAATTTTTATTGAAACTTTGCAGGATGTTTATTTAGTCAATTATCTATTAGTTTATCACAAAAAATTGGAAGGAAATGCATTGCATGATGGATTTAACATTATCAAGTTGATTATATAGCGAGCTGACAAACATTGTGAGTGTAGAAAATATGTAGTAATTAATGAAAGAAGTTTAAATACACCAATTGGGGCTTATTGCAGCAAGTTTTTTAGATATGACCTCGCATCAAGTCGTCTTTTGTGTTAATTTGCAATCTTAACTGGTTTTGTTGTGTTGTGTCAATTAGTTAAATTAAGCGGTACATCCAATTGGGGCTTATAAACATTTTAATTCTCGTTAAAAATCTAAGGGCATTTAATCAGGATTTTAAGTGATTCTTTAAAGTTTAAGGGGTATTCGATCATGATTTTTAAGAAATTCATACATTCCAAATGTATTCATTTAGAAATTGATTCGAAGAGATTTTTAAAAAGTTGGGAAACTCGAAAAAATTAGAAATATTTCACATAATATTTTAAACATTCTCAAATCGCTCCCTGAAAATTTGAGGGAATTCACTTAAAATTTTACATAAAAGTTTTAAAAATTATTAAACTTCATCAAAATTCATAAATTTTTAAATCTATTATAATCCTTTAAAATCTGAATGGAGTAAAAAATTCAAATCTAAACCTAATATGAAACAATCACTAAATTACATAGAATTTCTAAACCAAATCTAACAAGGATCAATTACAATTCTAATACGATGTTGTAATTACTTGAAGTTTTTTAGGGCAATATAAGTAGATGATTTGGGGGCCTGAAACTTGCTTAAATCCCTAAATTGCCAATTGAAACGAGAAAGAAGAGAAGACAGAGAGAACGAGTCAACGATCCCTCCTCCTCCTCATCGCCCTCCTCTCCCTCTTCGCAATCTCCGCCCCTGCAAAACCCTATTCGTTTCCTACTACTCCTTCTCCCTCCGCCGCCTCCCCTCCTCCTCTTCCTCCTCCGGCTTCGTCACCATCGTCACCGAGATCAACCAGATCCTACCCGAGACCCCCTTTCTTTCTTCTTCTCTTTCTTTCCTTCTCTGCACACTCTCTTCTCTCTCGAAACCCTCTCATCACTCTCACTCTTTCTCCTGTGATTACCCTAGTACACGGCACCCACACCATCGTTCTGTAGACGGTATCACCATCAAAACCTCGTATTTCTCTCTCTTCCTCTTGTCTCTGCAAGATCAACGAAACCCAGAAACCTCCGGCGAGTTTTCTTCATTTTCTCCGGTTGGGTAAGCTTGGGTGTGTGTTATGGAACGAGATCAGGTCGGGGGAAAGCTCACCCAACTCCGGCGAACCCGTGACTGTTGAGGAGCTTTCCGAACACCTTCGGCCATTTCACGGCGAACCAAGGGTATAAACTTACTCCTCTCTCTTTCCTCTTCACGTTGGTAATTAGATCGGAGTCTAAGGTTTGCGTTTGTAATCGGTCGAAGCTGTAGAAGCTCCGGCGTTCTTTTCCAAGTAGCACAGTTCCAAAATATCGCGATAGTTTCGGAAATATCGCGATATTATCGATAATATCGATATATCGCGATATTTTGACGTTGTGATCGGATCATATTTATATGTATTTTTACTTCGAATTCACTCGTCTTTTCTTAGTTGGTTCCTTATATTTTTGAGCTATTTACATATTTTTGTGTTTATAGGATTTGTTATGCAAAGAAAATAAAAATAGAACAAGTGAAATTTTATGTAATAAATTCGTCAAAACTGTCTGTGTAGATCAGCTTTTAAATAAAATTAAAAAAAAAATAAATAAATAATAATAATGATAAATCATGATGATGTTTGAAACATCATCATGATTCATGTTTTGTAAAAGAAGAGAGCAACAAATACAAATGGCAAGGTGGAATCGAGAAAGCCAGAGCGTTATTCATCAGCCGCATCATTATCTCCTGATGCACGCCTGCGCATTGTTTCTGAGCGCATGGACATTGTTGATAACCTCATCATTTCCATTTCGATAGGTCCCCGAATTCAAAGATTATAAAATCACAAGACAAGAGTACATGGACTGAAAAAGACGTTGCTGATTCTCTCATGGCAGAAACGGAATGTACAGCAGAAAAAGAAAATAAAATAGTGGAGCACTGAGGCAGTGCGGAAAGAGGTCAGAGGCACTGGCAGACTGGAGGAATAAGAAATAAGAAAAGCAAATGGGACGGTAGTGGGGAGTAGGTCAGAAATAAAAGAAGAATAAAATAGGGAAAATGAGGGGGAATAAGAGGCCTCGGGGAAGAACAGAGACAGGGGGCGCGGGAGAGAGCTGCCCTTGGCAGCGTGAGTGAAAGGAGAAGGCTGCCTTTGGGCAGCGTGAGAAGGACAGGAACAGAAGCAGCTGAGCTGCGTGGAGAGAGAAACCGAGGGAGTCCACACAGACAGCCACACGGACAGAAGAGCGCAGGAGAGCTGAGGGAGGACAGACAGCTGCCCTTGGCAGCGTGAGTGCACAGGAAAAAAGGCAGCATAGGCGAGAGGTCAGTACGCAAGAAGGGAAGGCAGGCGAGAGAGGTCAGCAAGAGGAAAGCTGCCATTTGGCAGCATGAGAATGGGGAGGATGGATAGAGTGAAGACTTGCGAGGAGCTGCGGGAAAGAAGGAGGTCAGAGTCAGTACGGGACAGCAAGAATAAGGAGGGCACGAACGCAGCAGATCATCCTCTTTCGGTTTAATCTTTCCAAATTTCTATTTTATTTTTGTTTTAATAATGTGTAATTAAATTTATTTTGGCTAGAGGTTAATTCAAAGCCATGAATATATTTGTAATATGAATTGATTACCTTCAGTTGTGATTTAATTTGCTTAACTGCTTGATTGATAACTTATTTTTGTATGTCGATTAAGGATGCATACTTAATTTACATGCATGAATTTGATGCTAGAATATAAGTGAATTTCACCTAATCGTTATGAACTTATATTCACAAGTAGTAAAGGTTGCTAGTCACAATCACGTTAAGTAAATTCTTGGCATAAGTTTCATGCAAATCATAGTAACGAGTGCCTCGTCAATGTTTATGTTTTTCATAGAACTTAATGATTCTTGCTTGTATCTCTATTATGCAATTCATGTGGGGAACTTGTAGGGAATGTTTTGGGTTGTCGTATGCAATCATCCAACCCAATAACTTGTGGAAAAACTGAGGGTTAATTAGTGCAATTCACGGTTAATTTGGGGCGTTGAGATTCACAATTTATTGAAAGAACAACTGAAAATCAATTTAGGTTGCATATGTGTCATGTGTGGAGAAGAACCCTCTAGCTAGTCCATCACCTATCCTTTCACCTTAATTTCATGTTTTTGTCAATTCTGTAATTTATTTAAGTTTAATTTACTTCTCGTCAAAACCAAACACCCATCCATTATTAAATTATATTATTTAGTGAGTTTTCATTATTGTTAGTCTTTTAATTCAATTTCCGTCCATTTCAGTTCATAGTGTCTAATTTGATTGTTTTCATTATTTTGAGCCATTCTAAGTGTGTTTCGAGTTATTAGAGTTTTTAGCCTAGTTTTGTGTCCTTGAGTCTTGTTTAATATTTTTAAATTAATTTAGAATAGATTAGCAATCCCTCCTAATCCCCGGCCTAGAACGATACCCTACTTACATCTATACTACAATTGTCAAAAAGAGGGTTTAATTTGTGTGTCAAGTAATTCTCACATCACGTTGGATACCTATTAAAATCGGTACCGTGAAAAACCGATAATATCGACGAAATATCGCCGATATTATCGGCATTTTGTTCCTTGATCACAATAGGCTAGCAATAATGTGATTCAATTTCTGTAATACCCCGTATTTAAAAAAAAGGTTATATATATATATATATATATATGGGTGTATGTTGGGTATTTATTTTTACGTAAGGATTTTATTAGATTTTTTTTATGCAAAAACCTACTTTCGATATGTAAAATAGTCTCAATGTAAAATCCTTTTTGCTACAAATTATTTCAAAAACTAGCTAGTAGTATTTCATGTTCATATGTAATTAGAGATATTTTTAGTTTGAGTTGGAGAAGGGGATTATGATGAGTTTGGCTTTACTTTTCTCACAAAGGCTAAGTAGAGTTTTGCCAACTATTAGAGAATAAAGAGAAGGGGTTAGTCACCACTCTAGATAGGTTAAGGTGGAAGTTGGTAATTAATAGAAGCTAATAATTAGGGTGTGGAGGTGGGAAGCCTTTGGCTTATATGTGTGGCTAGGTGTTGAGTTTGGTTTGATATTTTTACCAAGTAGGAGTGAGTGGGCAAGTTGAGTTAATGTAGAGAGATTACCCACCCCTAAACATTGGAGAGGTGTGAGTCTATATAGAGCCATAGACTAGGTATGTGTATGTATTGGCATGCATGTGGCAATGTGTTGTTGTTTTAGAGTGCTTACTCACTAGCCAAGGAGAATTTCAATTAATTGTCTATATTCTCTCTTCAATGCTTTAAATCTATCATTCCAAATTTTCCAATGAGGTAAGAACGGGTGGGATGCATATCCCTTAGACTTTGGACGTGGCTTTTGAGTGTTTGTTCACCTTGCATGATATTGATTAGCTTCACATTTGTTGTTTTGCTATTGGACCACATATCATGGTTGATAATTGGTGAGGATTCATTCCCCCAAATTGTTTGGACGTGGCCTTTGGGTGCAAGGAACATCTTGCATATTATTCATTAATTCATAATTAGCTTCACACTTGTTTTTCTATTGGACCACATTTCATTGCTAAGGATTGGGACAACATTTGTTGTCTTGTGATTGGAACACATTTCATGGTAATGATTAGCACAACACTTGCTTTCTTTCCATTGGCACACATGTGGAGATTCTTTGGAGAAGAAGATGTCATGCAATCTACATAAAGGAATGAGAAAAGAAACAATGGAAGGACATAGAGGAAGAAGGAAGAGAAGAGAGATGAAGAAGAAGAAGAAGAAGAAGAAAAGGAAGAAAAAGTACAACTCCAATAAAAAGCCATCCTCCCTTTCATATTACCCAATTACCTTTCTTTTACATATTGTTAAGGCTTTAAGCCATCCTTCATTGTATTTGTAAAGTCCCTCATATAAATAGTGAAATACAATAAAAGCAAACCTCAGTGGATGTAGTCGAATTGGCGAACCACTTAAATCTTGTGTTGTTCATGCTTTTACATTTTGAGATCATTACCATGGGAAGCACTTCAACCACATCATCAAAATCTCCATTTATTTTCCTTGAGGATGATGTACAAAAAGTGAGAGACAAATCCCAGAGAAATACATGAAACCTTACCCAACAAATCTCCACCAAACTCCATCTATCAAAAGAAAGATATTCAAAAACTAGAAATTCGTTCAGCCTATTTAACAGACCAAAACACCATCATCCATAGATTATACCATACTACTTTCTTCAAGAGACTTGTTTGTCTGTCTCTCTACCATGATATATCAAAATTTTAGGAAATTCCAACGGTGCAATCTTCCAATATGTTTAAAATACCAACTCAGTCTCTAATCCCGCAGGAAACTGGACGGCCATGTTATGAGCACTAAAACCCCATTTTTCGTAGCTCCAGTCGAAACACTTCCTTAACAAAAGTTGTTCCTTATAAACTCCTCTATAACATATCCAAAAACCATGATAATATAATCTATGTGCTGATTTATATCCCAGTTCGAATAGCTGATAGTTTCAGCTATATTATAAAGTAGAAGAAGAAGAAGTGGTGGGGTAAAATAAAAATAAAAGATGATGTTTGGAAAGGGAAAAGCTAGAAACATGATTCCATGCCTTGTGGCCTTTGAGACATATATTTCACTCTAAAAATTATTTTCTCTAACATGGATGTCTATTCTTTTCTAATAAAAACAGGTTGCCCGACCAAGATGGACGAGACGTTGGAAAAACATATATGGAGTGAGCAACATTATATATGATGGATTATAAATTATTACTTTGTTATTAATATTATGATTATATTATTCTTGTTACTAATCAATTTGATTTATGTTGAAGCTTGTAGGCTTGTAAGATAAAGTGTGAGAATTGACATCTATGTGAACATGACATATACATATGCATTGCAAAGCAAGAAAAAAAGTTGTGTTGAGTTTGTAAAGTGTTTGAGGTGTGAGGATATTCAAGGGCTGAAGTTTGCCTTGAATAATAATGAACCTTGTATATGTCAGGCGTATGGTGCAGGGCTTGAGTATACAATTGGTTGATTATTGTCACATCCTGGTCCGGGCCCCCCACCACATCTCGGGCTTGATTCCGCCGTAGCACGATATTGTTCTCTTTGGGCCCCGACCATGTCCTCACGGTTTTGTTTCTAGGAACTCACATGAGAACTTCCCATTAGGTCACCCATCTTGGGATTGCTCTTGCGCAAACTCGCTTAACTTCGAAGTTCCGATGGAACCCGAAGCCAGTGAGCTCCCAAAAGGCCTCGTGCTAGGTAGAGATGGGAATATACATATAAGGCTTATAGGATCCACTCCCCTGAGTGATGTGGGACGTCACAATCCATCCCCCTTAGGGGCTCGACGTCCTCGTTGACACACATCTAGCCAGGGATTGGCTCTGATACCAAATTGCCACATCCCGGCCTAGGCTCCCACCACATCACAGGCTCGACTCCGCCGTAACACGATATTGTCCGCTTTGGGCCTCGACCACGCCCTCATGGTTTTGTTTCTAGGAACTCACACGAGAACTTCCCAGTGGGTCACCCATCCTGGGATTGCTCTCGCGCGAACTTACTTAACTTCGAAGTTCTGATGGAACCCAAAGCCAGTGAGCTCCCAAAAGGCCTCGTGCTAGGTAGAGATCAGAATATACATATAAGGCTTATAGGATCCACCCCCCTGGGTGATGTGGGATGTCACAATTATAAAAATAACAAAATCTTGTATATTTCAGGCGTAGGGTGCAGGGCTTGAATATACATTTGGGCGTTGGGGGAAGTGCCTATTTAATAAAGTGGAAACTGAGAGTTTAATTACAAAAATTGTGCTAAGGGATGAACGGGAGTTAACTCATATTCTGACGTACTCGGAGCCAAGTGGTATAAGCATGGTATGGGACGAGCAGGCTTGGATGCCTTAGGTATGTGTTGACGGGATTAGAAGGGAATGAGCGCATTCATGCATCTCATTGCATACATTTTATGTATTTGCAAGAGCTACTCATTTTAATTATTATTTTAGTTGGTACTTTTGCTATGAATTAATTTTGTATACTAATATTTTATTTCCGCTGGATATTCAATACATTTTAATAATTTAAAGAATTGTTGTGAAATCTCGTTCTTGGATTTCACTATTATAATCTATGTATTTGTATTATTCATATTTTATATTATTTTTTGAGAAATTATATTAATTTATTTGGATTTAGATTTTAATTAAATTAGTTACGAAGTTTGAAGTTTGGAAAGTAATTATCTAAAATTTGTTGACCTTTCGAGGTCACAACAAGTAACATATTTGAATAGATCTTGAAACTACGATTGCAAAGGCGAAAGCCGTTTGCGAGTTCGGATTCTAATGGTATAGATACAGACATTTGAAGTTGTGTTACTAAACTATAGATTTTAAATTTATTTTAAACTCCCATCTTGTGGGAAATAGGCCTATCATATATTTGTGAGTTAAGGGAACCAATCAGAAGGGGAAGAAGGAAGGAAAGGAAAGAGGGGAGGAAACACCCAAGCAACATTGACCCGATTTCAAACCTGACCCGGTTGTATCTCTTCCGTCTGACGTCCGATTGAGGTGATTTTGGTGTCTATGGAAAGCTCTTGGCGAACCCA